CAAACTCTTCAAGGCAGTGGAGAATTCATCTGTGGACAGCATCTGAGTTCTTCCAGCCTCTGTTCATGGTCCAGCTTCAGGGTCCTGTCCGTGTTCTCAACTCCGCATTGCAGCAAGCACTGCCAGAGCCTGCATGAGCTTCCTGGAGCCTCAGGAACAAAGCACTGAGACCCAGACATTTATCACCTCCCCCTCTGTGAGTTAGGACTGAACACAGAGACATTGTCAGGGTTCTACCATCCCTTACAGCTCCAGGGGGACATGGCCTTGCTCTTCCAGTGTCAGTGTCTGCAGACAACCTGAGTCTTCCTCTGCTTGCACATGCTTTGCCCCCTCCATTGACATCTTTTCCCTATGTCACCACATTATTCTTCCTCTTGGTCATCAAGCTCTGTGTCCAAGGACACCAGTCTTGTAGGGACAAGGCCCACATCATGACCTCTGCCTCTGCAAAGCCTGCACCTCCAAATAAGGTCACATTCTGAGGTCCTAACGTTTACGGTTTTGCTATGAGTTTAAAGGCATATAATATATGGAGGCGAGTATATGAAAGTGGTGGAGTATATGAAAAAAAACTGTCAGGAATCTTATGAGGAATAAGAAAAGATACCAAAACACTCGTACAAAATGCTCAGAGAACTCCAAGCAGGAAAAGCCCTAAATATTCCATTTCAGTGCTCACCCCAAGGGTCTCAGGAAGCAGATGACAGGAACGTCTGTGTTTTCATGGGTGATGGAAGAGGAACTGGTTTGCCAGTGTCCATAAAGGGGAAAGGAGGCAGAACTCTTCATGCCTCCCTTTCTGCATTCTCTGCTCTGCTGGAGTTTGTCTGCTATCTCTCCCATGTGTTGTTCCTTTGGACCTATGAGGTCTCCTTTCTTTGTCTTCAAAGGTGTTGAATAATGCAAGATTGTTTCCATAGTGCACATGAGTAAAGACCCACACAGAGGCTGGCGCAATTGTGCACTCTGGTTCCCACGACTTTGGGGTAAAGGAACCTCCTGTGAATCTTCTCGAGACTCCAGGTACTTCTAAGTGTGGCCCCATGTTCACGTGAGGGTCTCTGCTTTCTGTGCCTGTGCCTTGCCTGGAGAACAGGGAGACACGAGTAGGTCTTATTTCATGGTCAGCTATAATTGTAGGCATTGTCCAACTTCTCTTTCTTAGCTCAGAAACGATATTTCTCTGGTGCAGTGTATCTAGGACCTGGAAGGACAGCAGGTTCAGGGAAAATTTCTGCAGGTCTCACCCTCTCACACATGATATTCCTGCTACACATAAACTGTTCTCTGAACATCAGTTTCCTGGAGTGTGATGCTCTACCTTGGTCGCTCTGGTCTGCCTACCTTTGCAGCAGGGTGGGTCTCTTCTTCCTGAGCCTGGGGGAAGAGGATGCACAGGGAAGGGAGTGGGGACGCCCCACCCCTTCTGTTGCAGACCTGGCCAGCAGCCTTGCAGAGCCAGCACAGAGCATCTGATTGGCACCTGTGCCAATGGATCAAAGGCAAGATCCTGGCAGGCTCTAGGGAGGGCAAATCAACTGCCTTAGAGCCTGGGCATTTGGAGAAGAGTTATGGGGACCAGGGAGAGTGAGTGACACTGAGCCGAGGACCCCGGGCCCTCCAAGAGTTCAGCCTGACCCTAGCCATGCAGGGACTGCCCAAACCTCCCAACACCTCTGTCCTGGGGCTGAGCCTCTGATCTCAGTGGACCAGGAAAGAAGAGTACTATCAGTACCACTGAATCACAGCTAGATCAGGAAGCAATCCTTTCTGAACCTCTCCTAAGCCCTTTATTTTTTTCTATACTGAAGGCTAAGTGAAGCAGGCTGTGGCTTCTCTGCCATCGTCCACACCCTCCCAGCTTATCCAAGATGCAGCTGCCCCATCTTTCCATCCCCAGCTCATAGGCATTCGTTTCCTCTGTGTTCCAGCCTCTCCACCTGGAGAAGCTTCTACTCTGAGCCACTGCCTTCTCTCCCTGACTGCATGCCCTAATGCCCTGCACCCTGTTCAGCCACAGGGACTGAGACCATTGCCCAGAGCCCCTGCCTGCTGACACACTGGTCCCTCCCAGTGTGGAGAGTTATAACTACAGCAGAGGAATGAAGATTCAATGGCTCCAACCAAAGTCTTTGCCTCTCTCCTTTTTCTTTTTTTTTTTTTTTCTTCTCTGAAAAAAAAATAAATCTGTTCCAAAGTATGCAAATATTTATTGTGGAACATATTTCCCCTTCTGTAGAAGAGGAGATAAACACGTCGGCTGACATATGGGTCCATGTGCTCCCTCACAAGGTGTGAGGAGCCGGGCATCTGCACCAGGTGAGGCGCACTTGCTGTGGTGGGGTGGGCAGCCCGGGGGATGGAGAAGCAGGTGCATGGAGCCCTGAGGGACAGAGCCTCTCGGGGGCGGCATGCATGCTGGGCACCTGGCTCCAAGACAGAGCTATTGGGCTCAGGTTTGACTCTGTTTATTTAGCACTTTCATGTGCAGCTAGTGGACCTCATGTCATATCAAGCCCCAGGTCACCTTGCAGGAAATCATGGCACACAGCTGAGTCGAGGATGTGAACAGAATGGGTGAGGTTTCTGTGGCTCTGTTTTGCAAAGGCATGACAGAAAGACTCCCATGCAGGTCTGTGGAGTGGCACATGGTGTGCTATGTCTGCTCCTGCAGTTCTGAGCCCACAAGGCCATGGCAGTGTTGGACACTGTTTCTGACACAGTGGCAGGTGGTGCTTGCATTCCAGCCCAGGAACCACACTCCGAAAACCTCCTTGTACAAGGAACACACAGAAATGAGGTCAAGAGAGACTGGAGGAAGGGACTTCAGGCAGTAGAGCTGCGAAGCGCTGCTGGCCAGAGCTTTGACAGCAAGAGTGGTGACAGTGGTCTAGGGAAGAGGCAGGTGATCGGACACTGCGCCGAGGAAGAAGGGGCAGCGGGTGAGCAGAAGCCGCTGCGAAGCCACACTGAGCCAGGACAGGACGCTGGCACCGCAGAGGTGAGGCCCTGGGCCGAGTGGAACAGGATGCCAGAGCTTCATCTTGGAATGCATACAATAATGCACACAATCAGCTCAGACGATGTCAAATTTCAGGACTTTCAGGCAGAAATGTTCAGTGCATGTGCACATACATGTGTGCATGTGTGTGTGTATGTGAGCGAGAACTCACGTGTATCTGCACATGTGTTTAGTGGGATTGAATGAGATGCCTTCCAAATCAGCCACCATGTCCCTGAAGCAGCCCACATCCCCTGGACTCCGAGAGGGCAGCAAGGGGTGAGCGCAGCTCTGGGCACTGTCTCGAGAGCTCTGACCAGATCCCAGATCAAACTGTGCCCTGCGCCAGGCACAGGCTGGGGCAGGAAAGGTGCTGAGTGCTAGCAGGCAGCAGTGGCAGCAGAGGCAGCTCTGGGATGGAGCCAGCATCTCAGTGTCCTGCGAAAGGTGAGCGGGACTTGGCCTGGCAGGGGAAGGTTGGAAGAACAGCATTTGACCAATAGATGGATGGAAATGATTTACTCCTCAGTGAGGACTAACTTGGCCTTTTAGCCATTTCTGGGCATTGTGGAGAGAAACCATGTACTTTAATTGACTTCCAAGGATGAAGGCACAAATGCAGAGGTGAGGACCACTGCTGCAGATGCCCGTTACGAGAGCAAAATGTCTCCTTTCACAAGAAGAATCTTTTCTTTCATCCTAATCTCTTTCCCACTTATTCTCTCCAGGGAGCATTGCACAGAAACTGTTGAATTTCCCGAATTCCACTGTGAGTTTGAGCAAATGTTTTGGAGTCAGTGTGAAGCAGAGAAAGCCTGTGCTGCAGAAGCACCCTTTGTGTTCCACAGAAGTGCAGGAGCTGGGGAACCTGGGACAGCGTGAGCAACAGTGAGCACAGTAACTGCACCGTGCATTGCTTTGGAGCTTTCCCTGAGACACTTCCATTACTCTGTAAACTGCTGTAGGATCGTAACAGGGGTGCAGTTAGACAGCAAAACCTTGCTTCCCACCGTTCTGGAGCCTGAGGGTCTGAGATCCAGGTCTGCACGTGTGCAAGGCCGTGCCTTTCTTCCCACCTGCAGACGGCATGTTCTTTATTCTTCTGGGCTCCAGTCCTATAGATCTAGAACCCCATTTAGCCCTGCTTACTCCCTCAAGGCCCTATGTCCATATACACTGGCACCAGGTGAAGGCTCAGTGAATGAATTCGGTGGGAGGCAATCTTGTCTGAAAGGCTCCTAGAGGCCAGAGGCCATACCTTGGTTTTCTCCTGCACTACCTAACCTCCTCCTGCACAGCATAACTCATCTGACTGAGATGGAATTGCAGTGAGTCATACCTTCTCCACCAGGAGACAAGAGAGCTGTCATCATTGCCCCAGCTCTGCATCCAAGAGCCATGGTTCACAGTCAGCATAGAGCATCTGCCACTCTTCTAAGCTCTGCTTACACTAGCTATCACTGTTCTCACTGAGTAATGAGGAAATTAAAGCCCAGAAGAGTTAAGCAGCTGCCCAGATGCTGTCCACGAAATCGCAGAGCTGGTCCCCACACCTGCCTGGCTGGCTCCAGAGCCACACAGTGACCGGAAGGCTCTGCCTCCTTTCTGATGGCCACACAGTGCACAATGAGGCATCAAAGTCACATGGGTGACTAGGATGCCACACTGAGTCACAGCAGATCTGGTGGCCTCACATAACTGAGCTACATTCTGATAGCTTTAGGACTTAGATGTCCAGAATCAGCATGCTGCTGGTGTGTCCTTACTTCCTGAGGCTGCAGAGGAGTCTGTTCTTGTCTCCGGGCCGGAGGAGCCCTGTGGCTTGGCTGTGGCTCCGCAAGGCCAGTCTCCCCAGCTTTGCACGGCCTCATCTCCTGTCTCTCTCCTTCTGCGAGGTTACTTAGCATGGGACTTAAGACCCAGGAGACCTTGTCCCACGGCAACATCTTTGTGACATCCACGAAGGGCTTTTCCTCAACAGGGTGACATTCACAGCCCTGGATGTGACTGAATAATCTGGAGGTCCCACCCGCTCCCCAAAGCCCCAAGAAGCTAGGGTTCAGGACCTGGGGCAGCAGCAGGTGTGTGCTGGGCCCTCTCCCACCTCCCGGCAGGCTCCGGCCGCTGCCCTGGACGTGAGTCTCACTGACTTAGCTGGCCCAGAACCTGCCTTCCCTAAGAAGGGGATGTGGCAAAAAAGGGACGGAAGCTGACAGAAAAGGGGGCACATTTCTAGTGGGGCTGGCACAGTGTGAGACAAGGCAAATGGGGCACTGAGGTTTGAAAACTTAGAGGCTGGTGCTCCCAGAGCCTGCAGGTCCTAGCCTGTCACCCAGGAGCACCAGGGGATCGCAGTCTCCGTGTGGAGGGGTGGGCAGACAGGACAGACTGAGCCCTCCCATGGAACAGGCCCCAGCTCCCCTGTCTCAGGGCTTAGTAAGACGTCTGTTGTTGGTTCATCCGGGTCTCTATTAATTCCCCAAACATGAGCTTGCAACCCATAAGAACTTCAACCAGCCTGCAGCCTTTTACTGCCGAAGTTCTCCTTCTGCCTTCCCACTGTCTCCCAGGGTGGCAGACGAAGCACCACAGACTGGGGATTCCTGCAGAGCCACAGCCCTGTCTTCCTGGCCTCTGTTGTCACCCTGGCCACTGAGGTCCACTGGGGACTCCTGCAGGCTTCGAGGCTCTCAGGTGTGAGGCTGGGTCTTCCCTTTCTGGTTTTGTTATGAGAAACCTACCTCTTGTCTTTCACTCGATCCCCAAGTTGACTCTTTCATTGGTGATTTAAGAAGATCTGGGTGAATGTCAGTATTCCACGCCCTCACAGACTAATTACATCTGTTTGACTATTTTATCACACACGAAATGAACCAGAACACTGGGACTTAGTTATTCTACTGCTGCTTTTAGGGTTTTTCTTTTTTTCTCATCTGTTGTTTTGAGCACATTTGCTCTTCTAATATTTTGAGTATTTTACAAAAATCAAAAAGAAAATAAATCAGCAAAGACTAACCAACATTTTATGGCCCAGAAAGCTCTTTAAGGCCTTACCGCCTTCATGACTCCCCAAGAGGAAGCTGGCCCCCAGCCACCACTCTGGTCCTCCCTGCGATCACATGAGGTGTGTCCACTTAGCTAACATCCGCCTCAACCGAGATCAGAGACGGAAGACGAGGGCTCAAGTGTGGCCAGGAACAGACCCATGTCAGCGACACAGACAGTCAGCAGGGCGCTCCTCCCCACAGCGGAGCAGGAAGTTCTCTTGAAGAGTCTGCAGCAAAGCCCAGAAGTCCTGGGATATTTAAGAACACAGACTACAGACAGATGGAAGATCAATGCTGGCTTAAAGCATGGCTCGCCAAGCGACCTTGAACAAGTTACTTAGCCTTCCTATCCCTTTCCTTCGTTTGCAAAATGGAAATCACAACACTAAATACACAAGATTAAGAAAAGTAAATGATATTTATTCATCGAAAACATATATGCATACCATATGCCAGGAACTGTGCTAGATTCCAAGAATTTTGTTACACATATAAAATATAAATAGCCGTATACAAATTTTCATGGTATATTGAAATATATTATATGTTTATAGATAATTATCTACAATGTAATTATAATTACATATAAACCCCATAGACTTTTTTATTTTATGCAGTGTATATAAAATCTGGAAGCATCCAGGCACTCTCCTCAACAGGTCCCTGCACTAACTTAGTGCTTCTGTACACCAGGAACCAGGACCATTACCGTTCCCACCCCAGGCATGAAGCAGCCTCCAGGCAGAGGGAAGCCCCAGCCCCAGGGCCCAGGCTGGGCTCTGGCTCCAGAAGCTGTCCCCTGGCTCTCCAGCCAGGCCAGAGCGCCCTGCCACCACAACACGGGACACAAGTCCACTCTGGTACAGGCAAGGACTTGTGGGAAAACACGACCAAGCTAAAGTAGATTGTTCCTGTCCAGGTGGAACATGTGACATCCAGCAGAGTATGCGGTGATCCACACACGACCTCGGCTGGCCCCAGCACTGCTGTGGGAATAACTAGAAAGGAGATTTCTTCCCACTGACTGGGGAAGCTGGGAGCTGCTGGTGGGAGGGGAGTTTGAGATGGAGATCAGTGGGGGAGGGGCAGAGCCATTAGATGCGGGGGGGGGGGGGAAGAGCTGCGAAGACAGCATTCCCATATCTTGAGCCCTGTCTGACTGCAGTCTACCAGCTGGGTCTCTGTTACTTGCACATGCGTGCTATTGCCGCGTGTAGCACCACCACTCACAGGGAGCCATGTATGCATTTGTTTTCAGTAACAATTAAGTTACCCAAGCACAGAAAGAAAAGGCCTCCTGCAGAAGGTGCCTGCGAAATCACTGAGACACGAGGTATCAGCCCCCACTCACAGGGCCTGAGGTCCAGACTCTCCCACTGGTGCTTCTGGGCCCAGAGCTCACTCTCGCGAGAACTGCAGCCATTGAGCAGAGCTTTCCTTGCCATTTGTCCCACGCCCTGGACCCCTGGATGTGTTACAGAGCACTGCTTCCCTGTGGAGTGCTGAGACGGCCTCCTGCTGGCCTCTCAGCCCCCACTGCAGCCCCTAAGTGCCTGGACAGCTCTGTCCCTGGATGAGCCTCAGGTCTCTCCTCTTAGCCTCCCCCACATGATCAGAGAAGACTGGAGTCCAGAAAGAGCTCCTTGTGCTCGCTTCCTCCCCTGGGAAGAGCTTGAGAGTGAGCGGTGCTCTTTTGCCCAACTTCAAGGCGGAAGCCTTCAACATTTCAGTAGGTGTGTTTCACACGGACGCCCAACACACAAGTCCGATCCCTTGTATTCACAACTTAGAGTCTTCTATTCTTAGTTTGCTAAGAAGTTTCTTTTTCATCATCAGAAATGTTGACTTTCTGTACCTTTCAAGGTTAATACAACATAATAATAACATGTGCATTCTTTATTTCTGTCTGTCTGTCTGTCTGTAGGGTTTTGTCTACTTCCAGTATTGAATGAGAAGTGCCTATTTAAAGTCCCCACTGTAATTGTGGACCTGGCTACTCCTTTTATGTCTGGAATTTCTAGTTTACATGTTTTGAAGATATGCTATGAAGTATATGCAGACTTAGACATGAGATATCTTGCTGGTCGGTTGACCCTACTATAAAAAATGCTTCTGTGTCTCCTTCGGTACTCTGCCTTGTGACCTTTAAGATGTATTTCATGGCCGGATACCTGTAGTAAAATAGTTTGGCATACACTGACTTTTATTGAATATTTACTCTGATTATATTTAATGTGATCTTGTCCTTACTAACATATTGGGGATAAATCTACTACTCTCCTACTTTCCTTTATAATTTTTAATCTTTTTCTTTTTATGTAGCCTTCTTTGATTGATAGTGCAATTTTTATTATATCTATTTCCTTTTTACTAGTGTGTTCACCAGTCATTATTTTATTTTTCTCTTTATAGTCATCCCATAATCACAACATATTTCCTTGCTTTCCAGAGTCTTTTAAAACTTAATAGGCAATTCAAGGACTTTAGACCACTGTACTTACCATTCATACTGTTATTGTTGTGGACTTTAATTCTACATATATGCTAAATAAACAACTATCATTGCTTTATACAGGAAGTAAATATCAACCTTTAATCATTCCATACACAAATGTACTCTAAACTGAGAATATAGCTAAGTTTAAAGCCAAAATGACAAATGGCTCTAAACTTTAGAGAAAATATTTCTCAACCTTGAGGGTTGGTAAGGTTTTCTTAGATATAAAACAGCTATATAAGGAAAGAAATCATTAAACGAGCCTCATCAACACTGAATGAACTTTTACCCTTCAGAGTGTCTCATTAAGAAAACCAAAAGGCAAATCACCAGGTGCAGAAACTATTTGCAATGCCTATATCAGATGATTTACACAAAGAGGTTGCAACAAACTCTTGCAAACCAATAAAAAGGTAAACAAGCCAAAAATAGAGTTAAACAGTCATGTAATGAACAGAAATACATTACTTGTCAATAGATGCATAAAAATATACTCACCATTATTAGAATATAGGATACTCAAATTAAAACCATAATGACAGAAGACTGAAAGGAAGCCTGAAAATTTAAAAATTCACTGCATCTTACTTGATCTTACCGGAATAAATGTTGGGACAAATAAAGATTAGCCGAAACTGTTTCACTTTTGTTGAAAACACAAAATGGTACAACTAAATTTAAGAATTTTTAAAAATTTTTACATATACCTGCCATAGAATCCAACTATTGTCCAGCTAGCCACTTATCCTGGGTAATCCAAATCTTACGTCCATGAGAGGTTTCGTACCTGTGTTCATAGCAGCTTTATTTGCAATAGGAAAAGCTGAAAACAGCCCAAGTGTCCATCAAGAGGTGGCTGTATAAACTAAGGCCAGCATACTCACGCCACGAAACACTACTCAGTAAAAAAGAACAAGCTATCAATAGATGGACAATGCAAACGAATGTTCAAATTACTCTGCTCAGTAAAAGAAGCCAGGAGAAAGCAGGGTGGACTGTAGTGCTTCACCTGCATAAAACCATAAAATACCCAGACTGACCTCCAGCAAAATCACACTACCCACAGACTTCAATGCTGAGGCCTTGGTGTGTGCGATGCTCCTAGCAAAGCCTGAATGTCTTCTTTCTTTTGAGGTGCTGTACCTCTTGTGCATATGGAAAGGGATCTCTGCTCTGTCCTGGCCTCTGTTGCACAAGTACAGACGTTTGCATGCTCCGGCACCCTGCTATTATGCAGCTTTAACAGGAAGTACTGTTCTTTTAGCTGATCTCAATTGGCTGCTGAGGACAACCATTGTAACTTGGAACCTAGCTTCTGAGAAGCCAAGAGAGCGAGCGGCACTTCCAAGGCCTGAGAGAACCCCAGGGTCCTCCATGGGTGCTGTGGGCATCACTGTATCTCGTGGCTCTCTCAGAGCAGTGCTGCTTGTTGCCACATGGGCTGTGAGATCTGTCTGAATAGCGCATGCACCACAGACCAGGTAGCAGGTGTCTTCTGCTCAGAAGGAATCCATTGAGCCCACTCTAGGGGAATCTGCATATGCAATACCCAAGATGCAGTCTTTTAAAATTTTAAGTTTGCAATCTGGCCACATCTGAGTTGTAGTTTACATCACACAACATTATGAAGCAGTCTCTTCCCTCATACCACCTGAGTGCTGGCACTTCCAAGGTAGGAAAAGAGGAATCTGCTCTGATGAGAGGCTCACTTTCCAGGACAGCCCAAGCGGGCTCCTCGCTTTTTTTCTAGAAAGCCACTTCGTCCACTGCTGGAAACCCAAGGGCAGTGGCCTGTGCAGCGCGGTGTCTGAGGCAGGACTGCAGCGCTCCTGGCTTCGGCACACTCACGTGCACTTCTGGTCTTCTCAGATGCAGTGCACCAGGGAGTTAACGTGTGGGGTAGCACTCAGGAAAGTCTGCTTTGTTAAATACATAAAAATGTTTTGTGTGTACATTCTAAAGGAAATGGAAGCCATATGTTTCTGATTCATTTACATGTAATACATCAAAATATTATTTTGTAAGAGATATTTAATGTCCAAGAAACCTGCCAAGCCTTCTTATAAACATTTTTGTCTCCAAAGGGCCAGCTGCATTGAAGCTGCTGTATAAGAAGTTATCCTTGGAAAATGGAATTTGTTTCAGAATCTCAAGGGCATTTTAAACTTCCCAGGGGCAGTGTGGCATGACGGAAAGACCACAGGCTTTGGAGTCGAACACACTCCAAGGGAAAAGCCGATTTACCTCCTACTAACCTTCATGAAAATGTATTTCTGTGTTCCTTCCCCCTTTGAAGACTCTGTCTCTGCTGTCTGTCTGCTCAGGGACACCCCCACTGCCTGTCAGTGAATGCCCAAAAGACCACAGTCACTGGGACACCTCATTATCCACCAGGCACAGGGCAACTTCCCCTAAAATCCAAAGCGGTTTGTTTTAGACTAGAAATGAATAACAGTTTGTATGATAGTTAAAAGGAACATAAACTCTGGAGTTGGGGCAAGCTCAGCTTGACTTTTCATATGCCATTCACATTTTCATCCTAGTCATGTATGTGAGCTTTGCTTAATACACCTGTAGAATAACATGAAAATCATTAGATGCATTGTATCTCTGTGACCAATGAAATAGAGAGTGTGTGGACAGCTTACAGTCCGTATATGAAGGTGCTATCGCT